TCACTGAGCTTTGGCAATCCCGCATTTTTTAAATATATCATCCTTTTTTCGTTAATATCTTCTCTAATTTCTTTTGGTGAACCTTGGTGACTGATGTTATACAACTTTATATAATACTCCGTGAATACTTTAATGATTTTTTTAGTTGAGTGGACCAACTCCCCCTTAGGGCTTTTTATCTTTTCTATATAATTCCTGTTTTTCTTTTTATTCAGGGCTCTCATTAATTTTCCTGGTCTATCTCCCGTCGCTTCATTAAGTATCTTTTTCCTGGTCTATCTCCCCATCTATATCTTTCACTTAATACTTTGTTATATACTCTTCTCCTCTCCTCTTCCATCAATCTCTCTAATTCGTCTTTTTTTTCCATTAACTTCTGTCTCGTTTCTATTGTTATTTTCTTCTTATGTATCTGCTCCAAATCCAGGATTTCCTTTAGGAGTCCACTAACCCTCTCTCTTCTTTCTTTTTTCTTCCTTGTTCCCATCGCAATCAAGATTCCTCTTATATATACCTTATGGCTTTCCCATACTGCAGCTGTCGATACTTCCTCTGTCTCATTCTCCTTGAAATATACCTTAATCTCTTCCCTGATCTTCTGCACAATATCCTCATCCAAGAGAAGAGCCTCATTTAACCTCCATCCTAAGCCTCCCGTCCACCTTCTTCCCCATCCCATTTTCATTATGACAGGGGCATGATCCGAGAAAGTTCTTGTCTCTATTTCTATTTTAACCAGCATTTCAATGAGTTGATGATCTATTAAAATGTAATCCAGTCTCGAGTATATCTCATGTGCATTAGAGAAGAAGGTATAGTCTCTGTCTTTCATATGCATTAATCTCCAGATGTCCACCAGTTGGTACTCGTGGATCGCCTTCTTCAAAGCTCTCAGAGACCTACCCCCCCTCTCTCTGCACAAGGGAGGTTGCATCCTTTAGTGGGTCCATACAGAGATTTAAATCTCCTGCTATTATCAAACGCCCTTTTTTCAAATCTATCAATTTTTTCAGCAAACCCTTCAAAGAGATCTCCGGTTTCTTGTTGGGGCAATATATATTGGCTAGTGTACACTCAATTCCCTGTAGTTTACCTTTCAGGAACAGGAATCTCCCCTCCGGGTCAGTCTTTCTATCTTCCAACTCAAATCTCATATTCTTTGCCAATCCTATTGCCACCCCCTTTGCTCTTTTAATTGGAGAGTCAGCATAATACCATGTTGGATAATATTTGGATTTTAGTTTCACGTTTGATTCTATCTCAAAATGTGTCTCCTGTAAAAATACCACTGACGTTGCCCTGTGATGTAAGTCTTTAAACAACTTAAATCTTTTCCCAGGACAATTCAACCCATTCACATTATATGTTATAAACTGTATTTCTTCCATCCTTCTTGATTCTATCTCTCTTCTGTTTCGTCTTCTCCTATTAGACCCGAATATCTTGCAGAATATTAGCCCCGTATCCCCTCCTCCCCCTCCCTCCCGTCCCTCCCCTATCTCCCCCCCCACCCCCCCTCCCTTATTTTTCCCCTACCCATTTTTAGGCTTATAAACTGCCTACCAATCATTTGTGGAACTGTTTCCACGTCTCATTTAAAATATTGGGCGTAAGCTCCGCCCATGGACGGCTCACCTCTTCCTCCGACCTCCCCAGCTCCCCTTTCTCTATCAGCTGGGTTCAGCAATAACCTTTACTTCCCCCCCTTCACCGGAGTTTCCAGAGGGATTTCCCCTTTAACAGGGGGGATACAAGGGGGGGTGAGGGATAAAGAGAGAGAAGAAAAAAAGCATATTTTATACTTAATTCTCCGTCCCCTTTCTCCCCAACCCCAGGGCCTCCCTCCCCCTCCCCCCGACCCGCTGCCAGTCTTCCTTTCTTTTGTCATCCATATCTCCTTTTTCTTCTTCTTCTTCTTCCCACCCAACTATCTCCATTCTTTGCAAATCCAGTCTATCACAAAAATCTTTCAAATCCTCTGGAAATCTCAGATATGCTGTAACCCCATTTTTCCAGCCAATTAGAGATGCTGAGGTACCCCATCTATATTGCACGTTCTGTTTTCTCATTTGATCTAATAGGGGTCTCAGGGATCTCCTTCTCCACAGAGTCTCTGGTGTTAAGTCCGCAAAAATTTGAATAGTCACATCTCCATACTTAATTAATGATCTTCCCTTGATCTTCTTCCATATCTCATCTTTGACCCCAAATTTCTGGAACTGGGCAACTAGAACGGTGCCTACTTCTGATTGGACGTTTTCGGTCGGGACATTTTAGCAGCAATCCATTCTACATTCAGTAAGCAAGTCCCATCTATACTATTCACTGACCACCGATGAAAGGGCAGAAATCCTGATTGGATGCTAGGGGTCGGGACATTTTAGCAGTGATCCATTCTGCATTCAGTAGGCAAGATCCACATTGCCATTTTCTGTAGAATGCAAGTACCAGGCAGACCACGTTCCCGTATTATTCCCATTTTATTTTTTGCCTATGTATTGCTGTCATTGCTAATTTTGTGCGCGGCTATTCATACAGCTGTTCATACGTGTTGGTGGCCCCACGTATTGTCACTGCTGTCATTGTGTTGCCTGCATATTTGGAAACGTTTATGGTGCCGTCTTTGCAAAGGTGAGGGCAGATCCGTACTGTTTTCTATGAGAACTTTCTTACTAAAATTACATTCTTGCCAAGATTTTTGGTCGCCTGTCCCTTGAAGGCCAAATCCTGAGATAAAAGCATGAAGCCTAAAACCAGCACTGCCCTGTCAAATTGGGTTCAATCGAACTTGTACACATGAATACAATTCATATTAAAATATTGCAGCATTCATATGCAAACCACTTTATTACTATAATTAGATACTAGCTGAATCCTGGGTTGTTAGATACTTGCCAAGAGTCCCGGATTTGTTGGGACAGCCCTGATTTTTAGTCGCTTGTCCCTTGAAGGCTGAATCCCCAGATTTATCCCAAGATCAGAGCATGAAGCCTAAGACTAGCACCGACCTGTCACATTCTAAATTACCTATGAATTCAACTCATATTCAAACATTCCAACCTTCGTATGTAGATCACTTTATTGCTATAATTAGATACTAGCCAAGAGTCCCAGATTTGTTGGGATAATCCTGATTTTTAGTCGCCTGTCCCTTGAAGGCTGAATCCTGGGTTGTATCCCGAGATCACATCATGAAGCCTAAGACCAGCACCGCCCTGTCACATTGTGATTTATATATGAATTCAACTCATATTCAAATATTGCAACACTCATATGTAAATCATTATTACTATAATTACATACTTGCCAAGAGTCCTGGATTTGCTGGGATAGTCTTGATTTTTAGTTCCCTGTCTCTTGAAGGCTGAATCCCTGGTTTTATCCCGTGATCACAGCATGAAGCCCAAGACCAGCACCACCCTGAGATCACAGCACGAAGCCCTAACTGTCAATACCTCCACCCAGCACTGCTCTGTCACATTGTGTATAATGGAATTTGGTGATTTGCCTATGAAGTCAATTCATATTCAAACATTTCAACCTTCGTATGTAAATGACTTTCTTATTAGAATTAGATACTTGCCAAGAGTCCAGGATTTGTTGGGACAGCCCTGATTTTTAGTCACCTGTCCCTTGAAGACTGAATTGCTGGCTTTATCCCGAGATCACAGCATGAAGCCTAAGACCAGCACCGCCCTGTCACATTGGGTACAGTCGAATTCGGTGATATACACATGAATTTATTTCATATTCAAATATTGCAACATTCGTATGTAAATCACTTTATTACTATAATTACATACTTGCCAAGAGTCCCAGATAGGTTGGGATAGTCCTGATTTTTAGTTGCTTGTCCCTTGAAGGCTGAATCCTGGCTTGTTAGATACTTGCCAAGAGTCCCAGATTTATTGGGACAGCCCTGATTTTTAGTCTCCTGTCCTTTGAAGGCTGAATCCTGGGTTGCTAGATACTTGCCAAGAATCCCAGATTTGTTGGGACAACCCTGATTTTTAGTCGCCTGTCCCTTGAAGGCTGAATCGCTGGTTTTTCCCTGAGATCACAGCGTGAAGCCTAAGAACAGCACTGCCCCGAGATCACAGCCTATGGGACTATAACTGTTCCCTGGTAAACAGGTAAAATGGTGGGGGTGGTAAAGGGGGAAGGGAGGAACCTAGAGGAGGCACATCCCACCATTTGAAGTCTCCAAGAAACAGAAATAGCCAACAGGCGACTCAAACTCCACCGATCAATGAAACGACTTTTGCCAGCATGTGACTCCCATTATACAACGCACTTTTTTTTTAATCCTCCAGTTTCTATGAACTAAACAGCGCCACCTGATAAAAGCCATCGTCCATCGGTCAAAAGAGTCAGCGGGCGTCTCTCTCTCCAGACTCATGTGATCTGTAAAACATTCACCGCCGTCTGAAAGTTGTTCGGATGCTCTGAGATGTGTCTTGCCATGTGTCCAAGAAGCGAGTGTTTTTTGCGGCGAAACATTTTCCACACTCTGTACACAAATAGGGCCGTTCGCCTGAGTGAGTTCTCTGGTGGGAAGCAAGGACTTTTTTGGTCGTGAAACATTTCCCGCACTGCGAACACGAATAAGGACGCTCGCCTGAGTGAATTTTCTGGTGAGCAATAAGGCCTCGTTTTACGGTGAAACATTTCCCGCACATTGCACATGAATAAGGACGCTCGCCTGAGTGAGTTTTCTGGTGAGTAACAAGGGATCCATTAGAAGTGAAAACATTTCCCACAATCTAAACATGTAAAGGGACGCACATCTGAGTGAATTCTCTGGTGTCTAACAAAGTCTGGTTTTAAGATGAAACATTTCCCGCACTCTGAACATGAATAAGGACGTTCACTGGACTGCTCACCAGCGTGACGCCTTTCATGTTTACGAAGGTTTCCTTGTTCAGAAAAACATTTTCCGCACTTTAAACAGGAAAAAGGACGCTCGCCTGTATGGACTCTCTGGTGTTTACGAAGGTTTCCTTGTTCAGAAAAACATTTTCCGCACTCTGAACAGGTAAACGGACACTCGCCCGTATGACTTCTCTGGTGTGTGAGAAGAGATCCTTTATGCGAAAAACTTTTTCCGCACTCTGAACATGCATGTGGACGCACACCGGTGTGAAGTCTTTGGTGTTTCAGAAGGGTTCCTTTTTCAGAAAAACATTTTCCGCACTCAGAACAGGAATAGGGACGCTCACCTGTGTGAATTCTCTGGTGATTAAGAAGGTTTCCTAGGTCAGCAAAACATTTTCCACACTCTAAACAGGAATAGGGACGCTCACCAGTATGAGTTTTCAGGTGTTTCTGAAGATGTACTTTCCTAATAAAACATTTCCCACATTCGGAACATGAATAGGGACGCTCACCAGTATGATTTTTTTGGTGTTTCAGAAGGCTCCCTTTGTCAGAAAAACATTTCCCGCACTCGGAACATGAATAAGGACGCTCAGCCTTGTGAGTTTTCTGGTGTACAACAAGGGTGTCTTTCCTAGAATAACATTTCCCGCACTCTGAACATGAATAAGGACGCTCAGACTTGTGAGTTTTCTGGTGAACAGCAAGGGTGTCTTTCCTAGAATAACATTTCCCACACTCTGAACATGAATAAGGAGGTTCAGTCTTGTGAGATTTCTGTTGTTTAAGAAGAGCTTCTTTCTCAGTGAATGTTTTCCCGTGCACCAAACAGGACAATGAGTTCCTTTCTGTGTGAGCTCCCTCATGGCTTGGAGAAGATATCTGGGGATTGGATGGGTCTGTTGATCTGTCAGCACTGTGAGAACTTAGACGGACATCTGAAGTCATAGTACAGGATTTATTAGAAGGTTCCTCAGGATTAGAAGGATCTATAGAACTTAGATGGACATCTGAAGTCATAGTATGGTATCTATCAAAAGATTCCTCAGGATTAGAAGGATCCATAGATCTTAGATGGACATCTGAAGTTATAGTATAGGATCTATCAGAAGATTCCTCAGGATTAGAAGGATCCATTGATCTTAGATGGACATCTGAAGTCATAGTATGGGATCTATCAGAAAAATCCTCTGGATTAGAAGGATCCATTGATCTTGAATAGAATATTTTGCAATGTCGCTATCTTCTGTGGCCCAATCTGCAGATTTACTAACACGTCTCTCCGATGTATTTAAATTCCAAAGATACTGTGCACCTGCTGGAAAACAGTTTTAATATACGTTATTTTTGTTTTAATACTCAGAAGTCATGTCTATCATTCAATACTTTCCCAGAGCTCTCGCATTGAACACGATAGTGGAAGGTGAGTGGGGACCAGAGAGAGAGGACTGAGCAGCAAAAGATCAGCAGAGCTGGGGGACCAGAACAGGAGGAACTAGCAAATAACACATACGGTGCACAGCATGTAAGCAATGTAGTGGGAGGTGAATGGGGACTGGAGAGAGAGGAGGAATAGCAAAGCAGAGGATCAGCAGAGCTGGGGGTTACTGCTGAGCGGAAGATCAGCAAAGATGGGGGTTACTACTGAGTGGGGCATCAGAAAAGCTGGGGGATACTACTAAGGGGGGGGATAAGCATAGCTGGGGGTTACTACTGAGCGAGGGATCAGAAGAGCTGGGGGTTACTACTGAGCGGGGGATCAGCAGAGCTGGGAGGTTTACTACTGAGCGGGGGATCAGCAGAGCTGGGGGTTACTACTGAGTGGGGGATCAGCAGAGCTGGGGGTTACTACTCGGCAGAGCTGGGGGTTACTGCTGAGCGGGGGGGATCGGCAGAGCTGGAGGTTACTACTACTGAGCGGGGGATCGGCAGAGCTGGGGGTTACTACTGAGCGGGGGATCGGCAGAGCTGGGGGTTACTACTGAGCGGGGGATCGGCAGAGCTGGGGGTTACTACTGAGAGGGGGATCAGCAGAGCTGGGGGTTACTACTGAGAGGGGGATCAGCAGAGCTGGGGGTTTACTGAGCGGGGGATCGGCAGAGCTGGGGGTTACTGCTGAGCGGGGGATCGGCAGAGCTGGAGGTTACTACTACTACTGAGCAGGGGATCGGCAGAGCTGGGGGTTACTACTGAGCGGGGGATCGGCAGAGCTGGGGGTTACTACTGAGCGGGGGATCGGCAGAGCTGGGGGTTACTACTGAGCGAGGGATCGGCAGAGCTGGGGGTTATTACTGAGCGGGGGGATCGGCAGAGCTGGGGGTTATTACTGAGCGGGGGATCGGCAGAGCTGGGGGTTACTACTGAGAGGGGGATCGGCAGAGCTGGGGGTTACTACTGAGCAGGGGATCGGCAGAGCTGGGGATTACTACTGAGTGGGGGATCGGCAGAGCTGGGGGTACTACTGAGCGGGGGATCAGCAGAGCTGGGGGTTACAACTGAGCAGGAGATCAGCAGAGATGGGGGTTACTAATGAGCAGGGAGTCAGCAGAGATGGTGGTTACTACTGAGCGGGGAGCCAGCAGAGATGGGGGTTACTACTAAAGCGCCTACCGCTTCCACATGCTTTTTGATGTGTTTTTGTTGCTTTTTTGAAGCTATAATGAAGCGTGGCAAATGCCCTGTGTGTGTAGATTTGCTATTTGTTTTAAAGGGGTCCCTTGTTAAGCAGATTCCCTGCTCAGTAGTAACCCCCATCTCTGCTGACTCCCCGCTGAGCGGGGAGTCAGCAGAGATGGGGGTTACTACTGAGCGGGGAATCAGCAGAGATGGGGATTACTACTGAGCGGGGAGTCATTAGGGATGGGGGTCACTACTGAGCAGGGAATCTACTTAACAAGGGACCCCTTTAAAACAAATAGCAAATCAAACACACACGGGGCATTTGCCGCGCTTCATTATAGCTTCAAAAAAGCAACAAAAACACATCAAAAAGCATGTGGAAGCGGTAGGCGCTTTAGTGTGTATTGAAGTAATGAGTGGGTGGGTGTTAATGAGCATTGAGATAAATGCATTTTCATTACTACATTATAATTCTGTGTATAGAGAACGCAATTCCACCATGAGCCCGTCACAGCGAGGCTTCCTCAGTCCTGGTTTGGATGGACAGTTGGATAAATGGTTCTATATTTAGGACGTATCCGGTCTATAAACCAGAGGCTCTGGATGGACGGTTGGATAAATGGTTCTATATTTAGGACCTATCCGGTCTATAAACCAGAGGCTCTGGATGGACGGTTGGATAAATGGTTCTATATTTAGGACGTATCCGGTCTATAAACCAGAGGCTCCGGATGGACAGTTGGATAAATGGCTCTATATTTAGGACGTATCCAGTCTATAAACCAGAGGCTCTGGATGGACGGTTGGATAAATGCTTCTATATTTAGGATGTATCCGGTCTATAAACCAGAGGCTCCGGATGGACGGTTGGATAAATGGTTCTATATTTAGGACGTATCCGGTCTATAAACCAGAGGCTCTGGATGGACGGTTGAATAAATGGTTCTATATTTAGGACGTATCCGGTCTATAAACCAGAGGCTCTGGATGGACGGTTGGATAAATGGTTCTATATTTAGGATGTATCCGGTCTATAAACCAGAGGCTCTGGATGGACGGTTGGATAAATGGCTCTATATTTAGGATGTATCCGGTCTATAACTGTGAAGGAAGGGGACGGACACGACGGTGGAAGAAGAGGATTACCTCCACAGTGTTATCCAGGGATGTCTCCTCTCTGTCTCGTTCTTTTCTCTCTCCGATAACTTCCTGCCTTTCTCTTACATCACTTCGTTTCTCCTTACATCACTTCCTGTTCCTCTCTACATCACTACCTGTTTCTCCTGACATCACTTCCTGTCTGAGCATCCACAAGCAGTAGGTGACCACCATCTTGTGGTGATATTAATAACTGCCTTCCTTGTTACATTTCCATATTCCGCCTTCTGTCCCGTAGCGCGTTCTCCGGTTATATTTCCTATATTATGACACACATTGTACTTCACTTATATATGAATCAATAGCAAATATTGTATCTCTTTTTTTATGCCGTCTGCAGGCCCCTAATGTTTTTTAGCTGTAAAGAAATTTTTTATTTAACACACACAAGTAAAAACCTCCTTTAATGGCCAAAAATATATTTAACCCCTCAAAATATTATATGTTTTTTGAAAGGCATGGCCCTATAAAAGAAAAAGTTGAAAATTGTTTTGTTGCATGTGTCGCAGATTAGGCCGCAGTTTCCTGCCGGTGTGTTCTTCCCTCTTTGCTGCAGAGCTTTTCCTACCCAGATCCCTTTCACCTGTGTGGTTTGGCTGTGCTCACCTATGGGCATCGCCTGCTATTCTGGGGTTTTTATTTCCCTTCCATCGTTTCCTGGCCTGCCTCCTAGTTTGGTTGCATATATAGTACATGCTCAGTGCAGCTCACATTGCCTGAGAAACTTCCAAGGTCTCTGAGCTCCCAGCCATTTGCTACTTGTGTATCCTATGCACCAATCCTGGCTTCATCCACTCTCTGTGCTTGTTTGCTACTCATCCAGATTGCGGCTTGTCTCCTGCATTTCCTGTAGTCTCCTGCTGTTGTATTCTGGACATCTGAAGTCATAGTATGGGATTTACCAGAAGATTCCTCCGGATTAGAAAGATCTATTGATCTTAGATGGACATCTGATATCATAGTATGGAATTTATCAGAAGATTCCTCAGGATTAGAAGGGTCTATTGATCTTAGATGGACGTCTGAAGTCATTGTATGGGATCTATCAGAAGATTCCTCAGGATGAGAAGGATCTATTGATCTTAGATGGACATCTGAAATCATACTATGGAATTTATGAGGCATTTCCTCAGGATTAGAAGGATCTATTAATCTTAGATGGACATCTGAAATCATAGTATGGGATTTATCAGATGATTCCTCGGGATTAGAAGGATCCAATAATCTTCAATGGACATCTGAAATCATACAGTAGTATGGGATCTATCAGAAGATGTCCCAGGATTAGAAGGTTCCATTGATTTTAGATGGTCATCTGGAGTCATAGCATGGGATGTGTCAGAAGATTCCTCGGGATTAGAAGGATCCATTGATTTTAGATGGACATCTGAAGTCATAGTATGGGATTTATCAAACGTTTCCTCGGGATGAGAAGAATCCATTGATCTTAGATGGTCATTTGAAGTCATAGTATGGGATTTATCAGAAGATTCCTTGGGATTAGAAGGATCCATTGATCTTAGATGGTTATCTGAAGTCATAGTATGGGATTTTTCAGAAGATTCCTCAGGATGGGAAGGATCTATTGATCTTAAATGGACATCTGAAATCATAGTATGGGATTTGTCAGAAGATTCCTCAGGATGAGAAGGATCTATCGATCTTAGATGGACATCTGAAATCATAGTATGGTATGTATCTGATGATTCCTCAGGATTACAAGGATCCATTGATCTTAGATGATCATCTTAAGTCAGAGCATGGGATGTTTCAGAAGATTCCTTTAGGATGAGAAGGATCTGTTGATCTTAGATGGACATCTGAAATTATAGTATGA